ATATACTGCAAAAGCCAGGATTTTATGGATACGGGGCTCGAATATTACTGATCATAATATTTAAGATGACATGGAGATTATAATGATGAGAGTTGCTTTTTTGATCACCAAGTATTCTGTTAGGGAACTTACATAGTTCAGTCGTCCTGAAGACTCTAAGACATATCTAAGAACGAATCATTACTGTGGTATGGTCCTACAATGTGGGACAAAAAAACCTTCTTTTGCGAGGATTTTTTTGCGTGGTAGAGCCATCCTGCAGCTATATTATAGTCGAAGCAAGAACGGGTCGGCTCGAATGGGGAAGGACCATGCTCTTGCAGAATACCAGCGTCAAATAGCAGCTCAATTCTGTTGTGTTTCATATGGTGAGTGTAGAGAACAGGAGACCCCTTTACAGGAAACGAGGCATGTCATATTAGTCCTCAGGGATGACAACGTATCTACATTTTTATTAATAACCGAGAATAGATGTAGATGTTTATGGGCCACAGCATCTACTACCATCAGGTGGACTGTGTGCTCGTTTGCAATTCTTATTCTATTAAAAATTATCTATAGGTAATCGCATTAGAGCGATATGTGGGCTAAATCCAAATGAATCGTGTCAACCGGTATTTAAAAAACTTGACTTGCGATACCATCACTTTATATCCATGAAGTATACACGTTTGTACAGAAGCACAAAGCTTTGTTTACAATGGTAGATGATTTAAATCCCCGTAGTCGCCGAGATACGTATAGGCTTGAAGTAAACAATTTTCCTAGAATAAGAAAGTTGTTTATTCATTTTATGTGTGTATAAGGGTTTATATAAACCAGATATAAAAAATAAGATATTTAATTACTTAAAAATATTAAATACCAGATTATTTAAATTAAATTTATATCAGTGGTTAAATAATTGTAATTTATATAGTATTCAGGTTTTTTGTATACATAAAAATAATAATGTAAAAAAATTACATGCTTGTAGGTATAACCGTAGCAAACCATGCTTATCCAAAGCGTTCTGTATAATCTTTTATATAACATGTTTTATGCAAATAAAATATTATTATTATTATAAAACAGCAGAAAAAGTTGGTATATTTTTCCTTAAGTCTACAAATTGAACGAAATCTAGTTAATAGTAAACTAAAAGAAAAGTAAAGAAAGTCACATTTCAGTGTGACTAAAGACTCAGGGTCATGCGTGAAATAATAAACACTGTTGGTTTGTCTGCAAAACTTAAAAAATGAAATACGTACTTATAATTGTTACGAGTATGGATATTTTTCCAATTTATGAATGTGGAGTATCACCACTATATGGATGAAATTCCTTGTCCGTGATATCCTAGTGCGTAACGTAGAAAAGTGCTTCAGGATATAAAATATTCTATTCTTTTCCATTCTATTCTTATAACCGAGTTATAATAATAATATTAAGGAATTTATGAATGATATATACAGCTAACATCTCGGAATGGGTGATCGCTGCCAAGCTATTTCTTAATTTGTTTTTTATGGTTAATTGTATAAATTAACCGTTAAGTGTTTTTTTTAAATGGGCCGCTGGGTTTCATGGTTTTTTCTTCAAGGTATATTCCGCATCTGTGGTAAATTAAACATAAAAAGTGGCTTTAATAAGTGTTCTTTATAATCCGAAATTCTATAAAAAATCTGTTTCAGTTATGTTATTAATTTATTAGTTTTAAAAATGTAAGTACCCCAAAGTATACATCGAGCCATGGAAACAATATGATAATTCAATATAACTTCCCACCATTAACTACGGCTCCCTGCTCATCGATCCAGACTAACCCAAATATCTTCCTACGCATCAGGCCAACCCACGAGTCAATGTGGGAACAGATTCGTTCGCAAGGATTTCGACATGCCGTGTTCCGACACGCCGATTTTGACACGCGTCTTTCGACACGCTCGTTTGTCGCGAACATCCCATTAGGATGTCACAAATAGTCAGCTTGTTGGTGAATTGAACAGGGAATATCTAACGATCTAAATTATATTGTTTAGAAACCTTCACAATCAAAAAAATCTTTTTTTAATTGAATAAGGGAGACAAACGAGCACACATACCTAATGGTAAGTGGATGCTGTACCCATAAATCTCAATTAAGTATCAAAATGCAGATGAGTTGTCATCTATTGGGACTGAAATGGAAGGCCTAGTTTCCACTAAAAAAGGGTCTTCGGTTCTCTACACTTACCATACGTAACGCAGCAGCATTAAGCTGCTATTTTACGCTGGTATTCTGTAAGAGCGTGGTCCTAGGTTTGGGCCGACCCGTTCGTGCTACAATTGTTAATATAGTTGCAGCGTAGCTCTACCGCATTCTACTTTACGTTCTGTGAATTTAATCTAATTAACCTTTATAATAATAATAACTAAAATTCAGATTTGTGTGATTTTTCTCTACTCTTCGTTTTATTATCGCCGTAAAGCAAAGCAGACTGATTTCGATCGCTGCTGACACAAATAAAACTGATTTACCTATAACCGTGCAATTTACCTATTACTTATAACCGGTGGTAAAGAAAAACGTCCTGAAAAAATCATCTCTGTTTCATAAATAATATATTTCGAGGACATGGAAAGTATGTCAACAAATACTCAACCGTCGTGAAATGCTACCCCTCCATTACTCTCTCAGAAATGTAAGGACGGGGAACCTTACTTTAAGCTATTACTATTTAGACCTAGGAATGTATACATATATATATATATACATGGTAAAGCTACGCTCACTATATAATACATATAGGTATGTATATATATATCAATATAGTGATAGTAAACTACTAACCTATAAAGAAATGATTTTCAAAAATCGGGAAGTTATGGGTTTCACCCTAAAGCACCACTACTATTTCTACGAGAATGTCACTATGTCTGTATTGCCTATTATAACCCTTTCAAAACTTTTAAAGGGCTTGACCGATTTGAACGAACTTGGCGGCTTTCGGAAACGCTTCACCAAACTTAGATTTTTTCTACCAACCGATTCGGATTAGAGTTTGAGAAATCTCAAAAGTAAAATTTTCAATTAAAAAAAAAACGTTTTTTTTTTAAATAACTTTTAAACAGATCTAACGATCAATTCCAAAATCAAATCCAAATTTAATCAGCTCTTAAACTCAAAAAACGTCGCCGATTGCTGCACACTGCATCAAAATGTTAATAGTTAACGAAAAATTTAGAAAAAAGTGTTTGTTACACATAACTTTTGAATTTATAGTCTATCGATTTTTTTGTAATAAAATTTTTCATTGTTCTTAAAATGCTTTGCGATTGCCGTCAATAACGTCAAAATCGGATGATCCGTTCAAAAGTTGTCATTGCCATAAAATTTCAAAAGAAGCGTTTTTTTGTTTTTTGTTTAACTTCGAAATTTCTTCTCGGATCGTTTTTGTTGTAATAAATTAACTATGATTGCCTAAAAACTGCGTTGAACATCGTCAAGTTTGTCAAAATCGGTTGATTTGTTCGTGAAATATATAGAAAAAATTAAAAATGTAGTTATATACAGAATAAAATCAGTAACTCTTCTAACATCATATATACTGTTAGAAAAGAATAGCGTGAACACAGGAAGCAAGAACTAAAAGTCGAATTGAACTTCTCACTACAAATTAAATTGCAAACCATTAATACTGCGGCAAGATAATATTGGAGGGAAAATTTTTGATAGCTTTATCAACTTACCCCATATATAGCAGTTCTGCTACGTCACGTTAGTGATAGGATACAACAGGGAGCATTTACAGAGATGAGTCGAAAGAGAACTATTTAAAATTATGAGGGATGTAGCGACAACATCGGAGTCAACGTTACTGATAGTGGGATATAGTCACCTTATTCCACCAAAGAGCCAATGCGTTATCTTGATTGGTGATCCAATACTTGATTGTCACTCTTACTAATAGAATTTAGAGTTTACTCTTAGTGTCACTCTTACTAATATAATTTAGATTTTATTTGGAACTAATATTTTTTTACATATTACTACTGAGAGAACTTTTAATTACGTTTAATAAAAATTTTATGAAATTTAATGTTTGGGTTATATATGTGTAAATATATTTCTGTACTTCTTATTACACTGCTACTCTAAGGTAGACTGGTAAATAATACCTCGGGCATTAAGTCTGCGTATATAAACTTATTGTGTACCTATATCAAGTTAAATAAATATATAAATACTTAGGCAAATGGTATATTCTTATTTAAATTAAATATCGCTGCTATATTGCCAAGCATTGTGTTCGAATTTGCAAACAAATTAGGAGATTCAAAACCTTGAGAATTGAACTGTAAGTAAAGTAACCTCGAATAACCAGACACCGTTACGTTACTAGTTTAAAAAACATAATAAAATAAAACAAAATACAGTTGGCGGTAGAATAAAACGGAAGTATTTTATACGTGGTAAAGCCACGCCACTATACTCGTATTATGCTTGTTGCACGAAAGGGTCGGCTCGACCGGGGAAGGCTCATACTCTCACAGAATACCAGAGTTTTTACTGTAAACGAAGCATTCCACCTTAATACTCAGGGGTGACAACGCACCTGCATTTTGATTTTGATAAATTTAGATGTCTATGAGTTACAGCATCCACTTACTATAATAAAATATTTGCAGTTTTTAGAAAAGTTTTAAAATTATACGCATCACATCAAAGCCTTTTCTGAGTTGTAGTTGATAATAATTTATAAAGAAAGATATACAGGAAAAAAACAGTTTTAAATTTATACATGTATCATTTAATCTTCAATCGAACGAATATTTACAAAATAAACACTTACTAATTAATATTGCACATAATATAGAATATAAATATAATTAAATAACAACAACGAGACGAACCCAAGTAAAACCTTTAACAAACATCAATTTTATGTGACACGGTTTCCATAATTTACTAAACGGATAACCCCTCTAATCATGGATACATCTTTGTCGAAGTAAATAGAAGATTTCTATCAAGTAATTCACTTATGTAAAATGGAGCCATTGTTAAAAAATTGTTTGCTTTTTTTATTAAAGTTTGCCGGTGACATATCGTCCATATCTCCTTCTTTGTCTTGATGTGCGGTCATATGTCTGGTTAAATGGTGTCTCTCTCTAAAGCTCTCATTACAAACTGGACATTTTAGTTTCTCTTCCCTTTTCCTCCTATTAGGGTCATTAGATGTTTCACTCTTATGATGGGTCCGCATGTGGTACACCAGATCGGACGTCATCCGAAAACTGATGCTGCATTTGGCACACACGTTTTGTGCTGGCAGCGAGAACGCCGCCAAGGTGGGCGGTAACAGTGTGCTTAAGATAGCTGCGGCTGGATTCGCTATCAGTGGACCTACCGTCTCCCTTGGGGAAACAGGAAACTTCATAAAATCAGAATTAGGTTGTTGGAAGTTCTGTACGCCGAACGGATATGATGATCCCGCTTGAAGATACGGTATTTCGGGGCGGAACGGTAGAAAATTCATTTTGTTAGGTGATATCTGTGGTGTTTTTGGATCAACTTGCTTCCCTTGGTATTCTATTCCTTTAAATGCTTGTGCTCTTTGCGGCATAAGGCTTGGTTCTGGATAACTTGGCGAAGTTGAAGGTACGTTTTGGTTTTTAAAGAAGTTATTACCATTTAGCAAATGTGCCGGAGTAATCATGTTAGTAAACGCTGCTGCTTTGGTGTAGCTCGTCGGAGGACTGGATGCAGACAAAGGAGGGCTTATTGAGTTCTGGTAAAGAAGATTGTCTGGACTAACTGATGGATTCGGTGACCTAACAGTGAAATTTGATACTTTCGTAAAAGCGCTCTTCGGTGATATCTCATGAGTTTTCTCACCATACCTGCTCTCGTACCTCGCTCTCGACTGCATGCTGATTAACGTTGGATCATCGAATATTTTACTTTTATATTCGGGTAAAAATTTTGGTTGTCTCGCTGCACTCTCGTTAGAATTAGGGCGACTTCTTGAAAGTTCAGAAGTATCTGAATCACTGAAGTATGTAGATTTGCTCGGAAACTCGTCTGTGCCCACGTCAATGTTGATGTCGGAACCAAAGCTCGGTGACATGTTGTTATTAACTCGAATCCTGTCTTCATCTTGTTCTTTATCGTCTAAAACATCATTCGAAAGATCACTGTGCTTGTAGACATCTGTCGCTCGTTTCGTCGAATGTTCCCACTCTTCCGTGCTGAACAATTGTTTAGAAACTCTCAATTGTCGCTCAGGTTGTTTCTGCCTCACTTTTTCGTCCGGCATCATGAGAAAAGCCACGTCGAATGATCGTTTTGACGCTTTAGTTTGATTCAACACTGTCGATTGCATGTCAGTTTTCGATATTTGGGTCGATCGAGCACTTTCGATATTCGAATTCGTCTCCTTGGCGTCGGGAGACGGCTCCTTATAATTTTGATAGTTATTTTGAACGTCCATTGTCATTGTTCTTTCATTTAACAAAACTCACTAGAATTCAAACTTTTCACACTTATATCGCAGCGGTGTTATACAGACGCGTGCGTACTACCCGTGGACAATTTTACGAATACGAGCGGAACATAAGGGTGGAAAATATATAAGTGGGGTTAAGAACTACCCCTAGCGGGGCCTTTCAAGTCGTGAGGGCGTGGTGGCGAGCCAATCGGGAGCGCGCGGGAGGCGTCAAAGTATCCAACGGACCAATGGATGTGTTTCGCGGCGCTGTCAAGTAAAGCTCAATCAACGGGTCAAGATAACTGGCGTGAATTGAGTGGTAGGGTCAAATCGACAGAGACAGTAAGATGTGAATAACGGGTAGCGGCTTATTTTGCTATCCAACGTGTAATGTCGGTAAAAAATCAAACGGTCTTTGCTTGATGAAGGTTATCGTTTAATATAAATGGTTATCTGTGCGTATTGTATTTTGTAGTAGCCTTACCCGAGATTTAATTAAAAAGAAAATGCTTTATAAAATACTGTGTTTTTAGCGTTTTGGTTGTAAAAAGTACAATAATTAATTAATAAAAGATGATTAAGATGGTGTTAAAAAATGCTTAGTCCTTTTTATATTTTCTAGATCAATGAATTATATACATATTTTTAAAGTTATTTTCATATATTATCGGAATAATTTAGGTTCTAAACGACATAAATTTTTTTGCTTCACAAAATTTATATGTGTTATCAACATAACTTTAATTTTCGTAAATTTACCATTATATGTGCTTTAAACAATAAATAACTTGATATTTTGAGATTAAAAACGATATAATAATAGGTGTGGTAGACGGTTCTATGTAACTAGCTATTGAATATTATATGTTTATATGGTTGAGCCATGCTGCAGTCATATTATGGTTGTAGTACCAACCGGGAAAGGACCACGCTCTTACAGAGTCTTACAAACGTAAAAATAAATAGCAGCTTATTGCTGTTGTGTTTCGTATGATGAGTGTAGAGAATCGGAGACCTTTATTTCTGTTATTGAGGTATTCCACCTAATTCCTAGGGGTGAAAGCGTGTCTGCATTTTGATTCCTAATCAACGATTCAAATGTCTGAGGGCCTCCTCTTACCATCAGATGGACTGTATGCTAGTTTGTCACCCAAAATTATTTCATATTTTTTATGGAATAACTATAAAAAAATATAAAATAATTTTTAATAAATGATTTTTGAAGTTAAGATTAATTATAAAATCTATTAAATTAAAGTTACAGCCTATATACGTCCCATTGCTGGGCTCAGGCCTCCCCTCATTTCTGAGAGGGTTTAGGGCAAGGAAGTGTCCGCCGCGCTGCCGAAATGCGTGTTGACGAACTTCACATGTCTTCGAAATATTTTTTTTCTTATTCCTCAGACATGCAGGTTTCCTCACGATGTTTTCCTTCACCGCCGAGCACGTGGTAAATCAGCACTTAAAATTGCAATTAACAATTTCATTGGTGCCGGCGGGGATCGAACCCGGGTTACTCGCGTTCTGTTATATTTACAGCGAGCGTTAACCACTGAGCTACCACGGCTTTCCATAAAATCTATTTAAAATACATTATTTATATTATTAAATTTTTTTTATAGAATAGTGGGCAAACGAGCATGCGGTCCACCTGATGGTGTCTATCGCCGAATACGAACAACTGAAACAGCAGGGGAATCCCTGATGTGTTGCCGGCCTTTTAAAAAAGATGCGGCTCTTTCCTTTTCTTTTTTATTTATAATAAACTTAAAAATTACTGACTAGAACTTCTTCCATATTTATTTTATTTAATATACTTATACATATTTAATAAATATTTTATCATATTTAATGTTAACTTTGCTGTGGTGTTTTTGTTGCTGAAGTATTATTTATTTTGTTTGACAAAATTAATGTTTTGTATAAGTAAATTGCATCAATGAATACATATGTTTTTTTATTTATGTTTCTCGACTACAACGTCAGCCTGTAAACTGCCTGGTTTTGTTAAAATGAATCCCTTTTAAGTAGGCTTGAGCTTGGTGGGTGGTTTGATGAAACCATAGAAATATTAAAAACAGCAAACAAACTTTTTTCTTATATCTATGAATGATAAAGATGTCCAAAGCGTTTAAAGAACTAATAATCTAACTGTTTGCGTCCTTGATCTGGTGTTTGTAAGCGCAAGTTCTGATCATGAGGCCCCTGATTAGAATCCCGGTTCGGTCTAAAATCAGGTATCGGGTTTGTCAAGAAATTCCTGGTAGTAGCCCGGAGTCAGGAAGTAAGTGGTTTTTCACCCTTGTGCATCGCCATGTAAACCGTTGGTCTCATGCTTCCATGAGATTATGAGAGTGGGGGAATAGAGTGCATAAGTGCTTGCGTATACACTTGTGCACTATAATCCTGTCCTGTACGATAGAGATGGAGATGGTTAGTCTCCGTTGTGACTCGCCGCATGACCGAAGTTCGGCCTGGAAGGCATTAATCCCACAGAAAACTTTACCAAACCAAATATGTTACAAATCATGTAACTTTATATTAGTTATGTTAATGATTTCTTCATAAATGCGAAACTTTCTTAGGAATTGCCGTTATCCCACAACGTCCGATCGTTGGGCGGGCCAGTTTAATCATTAAGCTATCTTTATCTCACCAAACAAGGCACTAGAAAAACTCCAACCATTATGATCGCAATAAATATGTTTTATATGTCGCATAAAAAAATGATACTTCGCCCATAGACATCACAACCCCCGAGTGTATGGATGAGATTGCGAATAATGCTATTAACACAGACGCTTCTTTTCAAATTGATATCCCACTCAATGTAGCAATAGTCGAAATTGAACCTAGAAGTAAAGGTTCAAAGCCGCAATCGAGTTAGCAAACCCTAAAGCTAATACAATTATAGATGACAGAGGAAATTAAATCGTAACGTCAGCTGCAAAAAGTAGGGATTTTAATGACAGAAATTACATATAGAAGCGAAAGAAAGACTCAAATGAGTTCTGTTCGGTAGTGGGTAACGATAATAAGATGGGCGCAGACGTTAAAGGAAAGCTATTTGTCAGATTTTGGCCGTTTTTTTCGGTCATTCACGCGCGGTCTATGAAAATCTGTTCCATTTATTTTATGCGAGACGTTAATGAGTTTTTAGAGACTTTTTAAGAAGTAGGGGAGTTTTTGTAATTATTGTGTAATGTATTTCAGTTTTAGCTTGGATTTGTGGACTTACCATATACGACATGTAACAAAAACCCTGTGGTTCCCGTTAACTGCATTATCAGAATCAGTATCCAAGCGTATAGAAATAACTTTTTTTTAAAAAAAACACATTTAAAAAAAATAATTTTAATGAAAAAAAATTAATTTGCAAATTATATGTGGTTGTATTTCCTCTAAATCACACGAGTATCGGTAATGCAGGGTCTTTGACAATCCTCTTACTGCTCGGCCAATGCAGAGATAATAAAACCACATACAATATGCAATTTTTTTTTCATTAAATATTTTTTTTTAAATATGTTTTTTTGAAAAAAAAATTATTTCTATAAGCTTGGATACTGATTCTGATAACGCAGTTAACGGGAACCACAGGGTTTTTGTTACATGTTGTATATTATAAGTCGTACTACAATTCGATATAGACATCGTTTTTACGTATTTAATTTTTTTTATTAATCTTAATATATATAAATTACGTGTCACGTTGTTTGTCCGCGATGGACTCCTAAACTACTCAACCGAGTTTAATCAAATTTGCACACCGTATGCAGTTTGGTCCAACTTGAGAGATATGATAGTTTTTTTGCCCATGAGTGACCCATAATTTTTTTTTGCGAATATAAGGATTTTTAATAGGACATGACAAAGCGTCCTCGAAAAGGCAGATCAACGTCTGCCTGGCAAGCTAGTTGTATATAATTCGTCCAAAGGGACGTCGAAAAGTTTTTTATAGGATAAGGGTGACAAACGAACACACAGTCCACCTGATGCTAAGTGGATGCTGTGGCCCATAGACATCTACATTTAACCTCGTTTAAGAATCAAAATGCAGATGCGTTGTCACCCTTGAGGACTAAGATGGCATGCCTCGATTCCAATAAAATGGGTCTTCGGTTTTCTACACTCACCATACGAAACACAGCAGTATTAAGCTGCTATTTTACGCTGGTATTCTGTGAGAGCGTGGTCCTTCCCCGGTCGAGCCGACTCGTTCGTGCTACAACCATAATATAGCTGCAGCGTGGCTCTACCACGTATAAAGAAATTGAGACAAATGTTGCACCAAGATAATATATTTTCGTCTATTTTCAAAAACGACAATTATTGAATCTGTCGCCATAAAATATGTACAGGAGTTTAAGACAACGCTGGGATCAAGTTAGTTTTACTGCAGTGTAATGTTACGGATATGATGTCCATCCATTCTAAAATTCCATTGTACGTTCACGAAGACAGATTCAGCTAGATTCTCTTACACCGCCACCGTATGTCAAAAGTTTAAAATTGAAAAAATATATACTTACTGTGTTCATAATTATTGGCAAAGCTTGTTTGTTTTTTTTCTTAATATATTAGTTATAGTATACGTCTCTGACCTCCGCCTAGTTTTGGTTTTATGAGGAGGCAATGCTTAACGTGACCATATACCTAGCCCTCACGTACCTTATTTGTCTCTGAACTCTTACTAAACTGTTAGGCCGATTTTGATGAAATTTTGTGTGTGTAATTAAGTTGATTCGAGAATGGTTTAGATTCACAATTGAATCCGGTAGGTGGCATTAATGTCGAGATCCAGAAATCACACGTCCGACGCCTGGGCTGATCGCTAGCTTATTATAATATTTATATTTGGATTGTTACTGATTTTAAACGTCCCATTGTTGAGCACAGTTCTTTATCCACCTCTTATTTTGGAGCAATTAGTACGAAATATTTCATGTAGGTTTCTTTACGACGTTTACGACGCAAAAGTAAACGCAGAACGACAATATCCT